GTTGTGAATCATGGTTGTGACCGGGCAGTCGTGCTCAGCTCACGCCCCAGTCAGAGTGACTTAGATCGCTCCACTCCGGGACTAGCTACGTAGCAGCTGCCATGCCCAAGAAGGACAAGCGCAGCGGCAACCAGAAGCGCAAGTGGAGGAAGCTGCGGGACAGGCTAATAGCCGAGGCTGATTCCTCATCGTCCTCATCGTCAAGTTCTGAGCGCCGGCGCCGTACGAAGCTGAAAAAGGAGCAGAAGGCTGCGCAAGACTGAGCTGCAATGGCGGAACTTGTTGTGAAGATGCTTCGTGAGTCGGCCTATGGAAGGCAGCGAGAGCAGAGCCGCCGACCAGACTCGGGATGGCAGTCCCACATGTGGGACCCGAGCAGTGAGACAAATTGGGGACAGGGGCAGTCCTCCTCATCCTGGCAGCCAACTTCTGCCTCATCGTGGGAGCGGCCTTCTTGGGAGCAGCCAGCCTCCTCTTGGGGGCGTCCAGCCTCGTCTTGGGAGCGGCCATCCTCGTCTTGGGAGCGTTCAGGCTCGTCTTGGGAGTGGCCATCATCTACGACAAGATCCTCATGGGGGAGATCATGGTGGAGAGAGCGCCGTGGGAATAACAGAAGACGTGGCCGACAGCAGGAAGACGATCTACCTGAGGAGCACCGTCCTCTACCTGAAGCAGAGCGCCGTCCTTTACCTGAAGATCGCCGTCCTCTACCTGAAGCAGAGCGCCGTCTACCTGAACGGCCTGAAGTGAGAGAGGCGCCCGTGGTAGAGCCGGTCCCAAACCCGGTGCCACCAGGCCCAGTGGCAGGCCGCCCAGTTCCTGCTGCGCCGGCAGCAGAGCAAGTTTGCCTCATCTGCCATGAGGCAATGATTGGACGAGGCTCAGTGCGGTTACCATGCGCTCACGGGCCGTTTCATAGGCAGTGCATCGGGAGAGCCACCAGCATAGACACGCGGTGTCCGATACGCCGTTCAATTGAATGCCCAAGAGATTCAACTGCTTGCTGGGTTCCTCCACGAAGAGCACGGCCTGCGCTTTCAAGTTCTCGAGCATGTTGGATGGCCTAATAACGAAGGCCCGGGCCCGGCAGAAGCAGCGGCAGAACCTGGCCCTCCACCTGCTGGCCCTGCGCCTGATGCTGCTCCGCCTGCTGCTGTTGAAGTCCCTGGTCCTGCGCCAGTACCTGGTCCTGCAGCTGCTCCTGGACCTGAGGCTCCTCAGGACAATACCGAGTGAAGGGCCTCTGAAGGACATTTAGCAGTCTCAGTATTAGATTTCATTTCTCAGGCGCCAGTCTCAAGAATGCTCAGTCAGCTCAATTTTGAATCAGCCTACTTTGATTCCGTCAGCTGATCGAAAGCTTGTCCCAGACTGTCGCGCAAAAATTGCCTCAAAGCCTTGCCATGTGTGCTGTGCAATTGCTTCAATGTGCTGTGTGGATACTGATGATGCCTGGGGCCTAGAGAGTGGGAAAGTGGCCGGTCTAGGCTCCAGGCTTGGCTAGGACCGGGGCCTAGCCAAAAGCAAAGAGTAACTGGGGCCTGGCGAGTGGGTAAGCGGGCGGGCCAGAACCCAGTAGGCAATCATCATCCCATCCTGTTTTTTTAGGTTTTGGGGTCTCGGATTTGGGTTTGAAATGTAGGATTGGCAATACTAACAATAAAGGAATACTAACAATAAAGTTTGAAAGTTGATGGTTAATAATTAGTATTTAGGATTTGGGTTTTAGGCTTTGAGAATTTTTGGCTCAATGAATCCCCACAAAAAAGAACATCACTTTTGAAATGACTGCACATCACTTTTATAAGATATGCCCTTTTGGGCTGGCGGCTGCGCCATGGACTGCTTAAATCGGAAGCCAAAGTCGCAGCACGCTGTTTGCACGTATTCAAAGCTAGAGTCCGCCTCCGGGCTGGTCTCTGGCGCTCCGAAATCATCCACGAAGTGGAGAGCTGGCGTGAGAAGAAGGCAGCTGTTGGCACAAGCCATCCAATCGGCAACACGGCAATAGCCCCACACGCTTGCGACGGAGCCAAACATCAAGACACGATGGCGCCGCGTCGGACCTCTTGGAGTCTGTAGTACAACATAAGTGTCCTCTGGCCGGCGCACAGGGAGCTGACGATAGGCTGCCTCATGATCAAGGCCCCATGTCATAATGGTGCCCCGCTCTCCTTGTTGTCGTAGAGCTCGAATGACGGCGATGAAGGCCTTGATGCTGTGGTACGCAGGTGTGTCCGGCACGTTCACAGTCTTGTTGCCTCCAGAGCGGCGCCAATCTTCTGCGCGCCGGACCTTGCGCCGACCATCAGATCCTACTTGCTGCACTGAGAAAGCAAAGCACGTGTGCTCATGGCAAATCGGCGCCGACAACAACTCCGCTGTGTGCGCATAGTCAGGCAGCGCCACAGTGGCCTTGCTCCATGACGACGGCGATGCAAAAGGACCTTCCACCCTACCGGCTTTTACACTCGCAGCAATTTCTTCAGCCATGGTCTGCCAAGACGGATCCACCCTGGCCTGATTTAACTTCTTTTGCACGTACTGAAAGTTGTCCTGAAGGAGCGTCTCCTTGTCAATTGGGTTGTTGTATCTATCATCGCGACGAAGACGCCAGCCCAGACCTGGATTAATGCGGACAAGCAATGGAAAGCCACTGCTCATCTCCTCGAACAAAGAATCGTCCTGCCAGCCAAACAACTTCGCAATCCTTGCAGTTACAGGGACCTGAACTGTGCACCTACCATCTTTTGAGCTGTAGGCAAGTTTGACGTGCGGCTCCAGTGTTTGGAACCAGGCATCCACTTCCAGCTGCATGTCCTCCACCAATTTCCGCACATCGGACGCAATGCTCTGCCTCATCTCTCCAAGATAGGGCTTCCAGTGCATCACAGGGGTAGCCATTGAGCTAGGCCTGGCTCAAGACGAGGGCGCGTCTGGTCTGCATGCAACGCAAGCCGCCCAGTGCTCACGCATGTCCTCAACCCCGGGGGTTTGCTGCAAAAAGTCCCAAAACAAAGAACCATTTAGCAATGCCTCAATGCCAACCGTTCGTCAATGCACGATGCCGTTACTTGTCAGGAAGAGGGGCTGTCCACCCATTGGGTAAGTGATGGAGTTGTTCCTTCACCTCTGCGGGCAGCGTGACCAGCGCGTTTGTCTCCGGCACTACGAAAAGGTTCCCCCTTTTGCAGTGCCATGGTGCATATTGACGGCCATCATTGAGCCATCTGGCCTGTCTCTCAGAATCGGCTCTGCCCTTGTAGCTCCGCGAGCTGATCGCCCATGCGGATCTTCTGTTGGCGCCCTCGCCTCTGCAAGACGTTGCTTGGCCACTGTAGGCTGCCGAGGTCATACTTGGCCAGGTCATCCTTGGTCTGGGCGAAGCTCGCACGTGGAACTCCTTGATAGGTTGACCGCCGAATCTCAACTGGGCGATTGCATTGGTTGGAGAGTTCCCACGGAATTCTCGTCCACCAAAGGCGAGGCCTCGACACGACGCCCAGATCGGAGGCGTCCGCGACAACTGCTGACGCGGACAACTTTGTCTCGAGCACGCGAACATCTTGTTTGTTGCGCGGCACCACATTCTCGACAATGAGGATTGCTTGCGGCTTGCGGATAACGCCATGTAGCCGCCAGCTCTCGCACAAACTCGGCGAAGCAAATGGCCTTGGAACCCTCCTCGCCTTCAATGCCAGGAGGATTTTGACGAATGCGCGAGCTATCATATGGCATGGGGGGGCGCCTGCAATGACAATCCTAGACTCATGCTGTGGATCTAATTCACCTACGCGCTCGATGACCTTACCCACACAATCATGGTACGTCAAAGTCTCCGCGGTGCTCCACATTCTTGAAGCGGGCAAGCATGAGCTTCACTAGGCTGTCGTCAGTCTCCCAAGCCAAAGCACGACAGCGCCACGACTGCTCCTTGCAGATGTGCTCGCAAATCAGCGACGCTGACCCAAGCCCATCAAAGAAACTGAGCAAGATAAGGTCCGCCAACACACTTGCCAGTTGCTTCGCGACGCCTTCCTCTTGATCGCAAACGAGGGTTGCTTCTAAGCTGTTGCGCCTTGCCCTCCTCTGCCAGCCACTGCGGACTGGGTTTCGAGGTGACGCCATCTTGCTTGCCATGACACTCGGGTCCACCCACAGGAGTAGATGGCCCGCGCTGCCCCTACTCCTTCTGGAACTGCTGCTGCTGCTGGTAGAAGGCGCTGTACTGGTTGTAGCCACCAAATCCGTGCTGCTTCCACGGGCTCCCCCAAGAGCCCTGCCAATTGCCCTGGGTGTTGTAAGGCTGCCAGCGGCAGTCGTCGGGGCGGCAACCTTTGCCCTTGCCGTTGCCCTTTGCTTCGCCCTTGCCTTTGTCATTCATCTCGAAGGTCTTCGCGAAGGCCTTCTCGTTGTTGTTCTTGGTGAGCTTCTTCGCGGTCTTGTCCGTCTGAAGCTCGCGCGCCATGGTTTCCTGGAGCGCTTGCGTGTCCTTCATGAGGTCAGCGGCCGCATCCTCAAACGGTATCTTGGTCCGCAGCGCAATTGCAATTCTCCATGATGTGGCCTCCCAACACACACGCAACTGCCCCAACTTTTGCGGTCGACTGCGCACTTGTTGGGCCCACCAATCAATGTAGTTCGCGACGGCCTGCTCATTGCCAATCCCCAGCAACAGCGAATGGACTCCAAGCAATCGATGAAAGCAAGGACACTCTTTGGATGCCACGGCGCCTCTGGCTCCGCCTCCAGCTGATTCTCTTCATTGATTGCGAGAACCGTGACGCCTTGTCTACTCTTCTTGCGAACTGCGTTTAGGGGGTTGGGTTCCCCCGCTGCATTGAAGAAGCGGGCCTGCACGATTTCCTGCAGGCCTACCGCGGTATGCTGCATGGTCTTCATCTCGTTGACCACGCGCGCTAAGATCGACTCTGCCCCCAGGAGCATTTCCTGTGGAAACTTCCTGGGAGTACCTGCCACACAAACACTGACTCATACTGCGTAATTCCTTCGAATTCTTGGATGGACTTGTCGGAGAGCTTGGCCGAAGAGCCCGAAGCATCTGTCGGGACCACTGCACTATAGTTATAGATGGAAGAAGGGATGCCAACCCTTCTTTCTTGGCACACTCACGCCAGAGCACCCTGAACTTTGCCCGCACGATAGGGAGGTCCACTTGCTCGACCTTGACGATGTTGCCCTTCTCTACCTCGAAGCCCTTTTGCAACGGAGCGATGATGGCATCATTGAGCTCTTCCGGCTTGTCAGCCAGAGCTGCGAAAAGCGCGATGGAACTCACCCCACGGACCTTGCTGTATTTCTTAATTTGGCTGGCAAGCCCGCCTCATCGGCCCGCTTGTTGAAGTCCGCTTCCGCGCCTTTGCCCGTCATGATCACCAGCAACAATTCCTTTCAGACGCTACTTTGAACTGCTCATGGACCAACTCGGCCGCAGAAGCAAGGTAGACTAACGCACGTTGCGCCTACTACTGCACACAAGCTCATCTGACAAGTAACAAGCTAGTCACAAGTCTAGGTGCTGGTTTCTTCCACACTTGCACTGCCGCGCGCAAGCCCGCTCAGCTCCTACAGTCGCATTCTTTGCGCAGCGACATCTAAGAGACTCTTGTCCTCCATCACACACAAGCACAACATCACAAGCGCAGAAAGCAAGACGCACAACGGGCTACAATGTTTCGCGCAAGCACATGCCAATGCAGACTTAAGTAAGTTACTCCCTACTGACGGTCTGCGCGACCGCATCATTCAATCTCCTTTCAGTTGGCTGCCCTGGCACGGGTCAGCCTTGCAAAACGCCACTGCTCTCCGTGGCTAGCGCAAGCTGCCGCACCTGGGCCGCTTCAATCCTCCTGTTCAGTGGAGGTGCTGGCACTATCGGACTCTGACTCGCTCTCGGACTCAGTCTTCTCAGGCTCCGCCACAGATGCAAAACAACTCTTGCACTGCGCCATGCCCTCAACATTTGCACATCGACGGAAGTTCGCAGTTCCGTATGGCCAGCCGCATCCTTTGGCACGCCACTGCCAGGGAAGTTTGGTTGCCTCATCGACGTCCCGACAAAGAGCCTTCTTGGCGACGACGTCGATGAACTGCGGGCGATCTTGCATTGCGTCCACGGACAAGGCCAAGGTCTCGACTTTCTTGCTCAACTCTTTTATGGCAGCTGCATCTGCGACGGAGCTACAGCCTGGCAGGCCTTGCGCAGGCTTGTCTGCCGCAACACACTGGTCACCCGGAGCACCTCCCGAGCGCACACGACTGACAAGTATCTCGAAGCTGTTCAAGGCTGCATCTTGAACGTAGCGCTCAATTGCTTGGCGTCCCCACCGGCCAAGAAGCATCACAGTGGAAAGAGGCACCATCAAACGCGTCAAGAACTGTGCTCCAGCAACTCGCAGCACATGCCCGCCGAAGCGTTGTACTTCGCCAAGCCCATCCGGCCCTGGCCTTGTCAATCCCACGCCATGCCTGCTTAGCACTTGTCGAATAATGTTCACAGCCCCGCTCTTGGACAGCTCAATTCCAGGCACAACAGCAAAGAGGGTCGAGAGGGCGGTGTGGTACGGGCAAATGCCAACATGAAGCACGCCACAGCAGCACTTATGCGTCTGCATCACGAGATTGCCCACAATATCTGTCCTGGAAGTCCAAAGCGTAAGCGAGACCTGCTCCTTGCCCTCGTGCAAGAGTAGGTGACCACGGCGCAAGGCTACAAACTCAATCTCCCGCAGCAAAAACCATGAACCAAGAACTATGATGGCTTGTTCCAGCGCACTGAACTCCTTGCCTTTGTGGGAAGATGCTCTCTAGCTCAAACGAATCCGTGAGCGCAGCAACACCCATGCCGCGCTCCACTGAACGAACCGCGTCCTTCAACTCCAACTCTGCCTCCGCGGACAACTCTGAATTTGTTAGCTCTACATGGAGTCGACGAAGATGGCTAAGGTACTGCCGGACTGATCTGTAACCTCCCATTTTGAGCGCCGCAGCTATCTTCTGAACGACGTCCTTGCTGACGGGCGCGAGGCTGATCCCCCACGCCGCGGCCACTGCTTCCAAGGTGCGCAGTCGTGCATCTTGGGATGCCCGAGAACTGTTTGCCCACACATCCTTCTGGTAACGGTGCAGCGTGTTCTCACGATTTTTTGGCTTGGCGCTCTCCAGTGCCTTCTGCAGAGAGCCTCCCGCCGAAGGCTGAGGACGCGGCAAGTCGCCCCGGAACTTCTTTCGAGACCTTTCCACGGCCTCTCCAAGGTTATGGTCAAGCACTCGTCTTTCCGCGGCTGAGCCGGCAAAGTTCTGCCCAAACACGAAGAAGAGCACTGCTTCTGCATTAGCAAGAGATTTCTCCCCCGCCCCCGGCTTTCCAAACACTTCTGAGCTCTTCGAGGGAGGTGGCTCCGGCTGCTTCAAACTGCTCCATCATGCTTGGGCACACACCTGCATCCAAGCACGCTTGCACCAGGACCACGAAGGTATTCTCATTGCGCGGCTCCATGGCGGAGCTCCTCTATATCAGGTTTGATCTACTCCATCCTAGCACACTGACAATGATGTGGCCTCGCCTGACATGACGCATGCATCACACTCACACGCTCACCATGCAATTGCAGCAAGCACGCTACTCAGCCTATGCGTAACGCATGACCTCTCAAGTTCTCTTTACCACACCGCGGATGTGACACAACGACACAAACAAGTACTCACTGCCCTATAGTCAAGTTCCGCACGCGGTCAATGCCAGCACCGATGCAACTCTCACTAACCCTGACCAAGCACGCAACATCACATAGTCACACGTATAGTCTTAAGGCTCCTACTTGCGCAAGACAAGCCAGTTCTCCGACTGACCATGCGTGATTCACTAATCACTAGCCCTCAACGGCAATAACCAAGCAACTCTCACGCATGTGCTTCGCATCTTTGTCTTCGACGAGGCCCGCAGACGCGAGGACAGCAACTATCCAGTTGGCACCATCGAGCTGGTCCACGCACACTCTCTACAATGGCGACGTCGAGCATTCGGCGGCTGCTGTCCACTCAAGTTGCGGCTGTCCACGCAGAATCACTCATCATCGTCTGCCGCGACCGCGCCCAACCATGACGCAAGTAAGGCTTCTGAACAACAGGTTCCGGGCCTAGATTCCTTTGGAAAAAGGAAACTGATCCTGCGCTTGGCTGCGGATCCGTACGCATACATGTCATTACGTGCACGCGTGCACTCCAAGGCGAGAAGCCCCTGACCCCCCCCCACCCAACGGAAGAGTTGGCACAAATGACGCAGTGGCTCATCGCTGCTGCCTTCCTGCAAAGCCGCTCATGTGTTAACGAACAAATTAAGATTTCTGCGCCACCGGTCAGAACAGAACCGTGAGTCGCCAAGAGGCGCAACTTCCCGCTTCTTCTCAACATGCTGTAACAACAGCTACGATTCTCATCAAGCAAGTGGACGGCTTCGGAATGACGTGCATGACATTGACGGCAGAGTGGGGTAGCAAAGCAGAGGACAGAGATAGATAGAGATGCCTACGAGCACAGCAGCACGAGACGCATGTGCTTTTTCTCTCTGTCTCATTGTTTTGCTTAGCGCTTAGCCTGTGCCGCAATACGCCAGCAGCCTTCCTCGCAAGCTCATGGCAAAAAGCAACTGAAACAGTCTCGGCTTGAACCTCTGAGGATAAGCTTTTAATTGTTGCGCCTTCATCACTTTGTCTCAAAACAATCTGAGCAGCGGAGTGGGACGGAGATGAGCATATACGTCGTATACAGCATCTCTATCCCTGTTTTTCTCGTGGTTGTTACGTACCTTTGGTGAGCATCCCTTGGTAAAGAGTTGACCTCAAAATTTAGCATCTGTCGCTGCGTCCATTATTGACGCTGGATCTGCATATTCCACGCATGAATCTTCTGCTTGAACATGCTTTGGGCAGCAGTGAGCTGATCACCCTCGATCCTGGCATGACAACCTAAAAGAAGGCCTGAGATTTTTACGAGAATTCCATCTTGAGGCGCAAGAGCGCTTCATTTGCGATACTCTACTGCAGCACAGTGGCGTATGCCGCCATTATTTGTCTCTTCTCGGACCCGAGGTATGCCCCGGCACCGAGAGATGCAGCCGC